GATATTATGTTGAAGTGTTTTACAAGATATAGTGAAAACATCGAAGATGTATCTTAGGTAAGTAACTGAATAGAACAGATATTATGTTGAAGTGTTTTACAAGATATAGTGAAAACATCGAAGATGTATCTTAGGTAAGTAACTGAATAGAACAGATATTATGTTGAAGTGTTTTACAAGATATAGTGAAAACATCGAAGATGTATCTTAGGTAAGTAACTGAACAGGGAGGAAGCTTCTGTATTAACTTTGAGTGAATAATATAACAGAAAGCCTTGTAAGGAATGGAGAAAAGGCCAAAGATATCCAAAATATAAGGCAGGAGATGGAGAAGAAATCAAAAAAGTATGGAGGAGTTATGGCAGTTTAAGAAAATGGAAAAAGAACTACACCAAGCTGATATTTGACAAGATATAATGTCTTTCTTTATAGATTGTTTAGGCAGAGTATTCGTGATGAATAATCTGGAATGGACGGAAACTGCCCGTTGTAAAAAGAAAGAAAGAAAATCGTCTGAAGACAAAAGACTTTAGAAACATCATTGTTTATGTTTGTGTTTTTTACAACAGGCAGTTACCATCCATTCCAGTTTACTTTTATCTTGATGAGTGACAGAATATTAGTAAGGTTTTGATTTTTTTTTTAAATCAAGCATTTTGAAAAATTTAAATACTATTATTAAAGACACTTAAAAGAAAAATCAACAAACAAACTTGTATGTCAACCTATAAACAACTTTTGTAATTTTTCTAAATCTAAACTACCCTAATCTTTGAAACAGGTCTGTATTGTGGATCCTCGAAAAGACTCGTCATGGATGAAATTAAGACGTCATATTCAAGTAAGCTTACACTTTTTAAATTGTTACTTGTCCAAAATCTGACATCATGCAAAGTTTATATGAAGAAATTGTTCTGTATGTCTATAATGTAGAGTTAAAAGTTTTAATGCTAGAATTAAGAACTATGTGGAATTTATTACAAAATTACGAACTGAAAAACACGCGTTTGTAGATCAAAATGTCACGAACTATCTTTATTTGGTTATACAAATGTAGTATAAACCCTGTCTGTTAGTGTAACGCACGTAGTGATTAGGTCGTAAGTTACTAATATAATCAGTGATACCAGAGTTTTAGTGTTTACTGAAACCAGTTTAGTCCCACATAATTGTTGTTTGGTATGATTTATTGGAATTCCTTTTTTATTTCAGACTGATCAAGTTCATGCCCAAGACAACGTAAGACCTGGAAACAACACTGCAGGTGAGGGTGTTACAGATTAAATAACTGTGTAAGGTAATGATAAATGCTTGTTATATAATGTGGCTGCACTGTTCTTTAAGTAGCTGGAACAGAAGATCTGTTTAAGGCAATACTTTTGAAAGAGGGAGGGTGAGAAAGCACTTAATGAAAATAAACTGATTGCCATCTAGCAAGTGGTTTAAATTTCAATTAAAATATTTTTAAGAGTTACTTTCTTTTATTATATAATTTAGAAATATTGACAAGTAATTGGAATTTTGTTGGCTAGATTTTACAGTGCATGCAAAAGTATACTTGCTTAAGAAAGAAATGGTCAGACTAAGAATGATATTGTTCACTCAAGAATCATTGTGATATTGTTCACTCGGACATCATGTTAATTCTCATTGTGATATTGTTCACTCGGACATCATGTTAAGAATCATTGTGATATTGTTCACTCGGACATCATGTTAAGAATCATTGTGATATTGTTCACTCGGACA